CACTGAGCCTGTCCTCTCTGGGCAGCCAGGTCTGCCTGTGTCCAGTGTCTGTGTCCAGGCTGTGTGTTCCTCCTGCGCTGACCCGTCTCCTGTCCCTCCGCAGTGCCAGGTGCAGGTGAACCGGCGCGTGCTGAGCGACCTGGCAGTGACCGAGCCGCGGTCCTTCCGCTCTCTGGCCGTGCTGGCGCAGACGCGGAGGGAGGAGGGCTTCCGGGCTGCCCTGGGGGACGGCCGCGAGCCGCCCGGCATCTTCTCCCGCGTGGTCCAGTCGCAGTGACCCGCTGACCGCCACCCGTGGACCACAGCCAGCCAGTCAATCTGGGATTGACCTTTGACCTTGGACTGTTTCTGTAAATATATGGGCAGCACAGCTGTGTACTGTCGTCTTTAGTATAGTCTACTGGAGAGAGAATAAACTCGCGTTGTTTGATTAAACTGATTCCTTTTCTTGTGTTTTCTTTTTTCCTGTTTTGAGAAAGAGGCTTTTTTATTATGGTAGTCTCAACCTCTGGTTTTCAATTATAGTTATTTGACTGCAAACAGCAGACACATAAATAACTTGAGGGAGGTTCGGGCAAGAAGAGGCGAGAGTTCACTGTTCCCAACGGGATGCTAAAGGGATACGGAGGAAAAGCAGCCCAGTGTCTGTAAAAGGCACTTAATTTAAAGACAGTATGTTGCATCACTCCTCAAACAGACGCGAATGCTTTCAGATTTCCAATCAAACCACTGTAAACGTCCGGTGTTGCTGCTGTAACGCTATAGGGTCTTTCATCAAACTTTAAACTGATTCGCGTAGCGAAAGTGATTGACAGACCAGACGGACAATCAGAGTGACGCTGACGTTCTCTGGGCCGGATCTTGGGGGGAGGGCTCAGGCTGAAGTTTCCCCACTGTCCAATCGGAAGCAAGCGGAGGCGGGACTCTGGGACAACTCAATGCCTCGGGGTTTCCTGATTCCTCTTCCCCAGCTGCATGGAGCACGATGGCGGCTAGAGATCTGAGGATACCAGCCATCCCGGAGGAGGGGATCCTGATCGGAGACAAGCGGTACTCTGGGGTGAGGCTGACGCTGGACAACTGCCTCCTGTCCTCGGAGCGACTGGAGCGGAGCCCCTCGGCCGAACATGGGCTACCCGCAGACACCGAGGAGCAGCTGCGGAGGTGCGGATGTGAGCTGATCCAGACGGCCGGGATACTGCTGCGACTGCCGCAGGTCAGCGGGGAGAGAGGGGCAGATACAGAGGGGACGCTGTGTGCACTAGTGCTCGGAACTCAGACGAACACCGGGGATGTGTGCACTGGTGCCGGGAGCTGAGACTCACACGGAGGGGCTGCGTGCACTAGTGCTGGGAGCTGAGACTCACACTGGGGGGCTGTGTGCACTAGTGCTGGGAGCTGAGACTCACACGGAGGGGCTGCGTGCACTAGTGCTGGGAGCTGAGACTCACAC